GCAAACGACTCGCACGCCACTCTCGGGGGATGGCAAACCTCTCGCACGCCACACTCGAGGGGGTGGCATACAACTCGCACCCCATTTTCGAGGGTGGCAAACCAATAGCATGCCACTCTCAAGGTGTGCCAAACCACTTGCACGCCACTTTGAGGGGTGGCAAACCACTCCCACGCCATTCTCGGAGGGTGGCAAACCACTCGCACGCCACTCTCGGGGGGTGGAAAAGCAATCGCATGCCAGTCTGGAGGGTGGCAATTCACTCGCACACCACTCGGGGGGGTGGCAAACCACTCACACTCCACTCTCGGAGGGTGGCAAACCATTCGCACGCCACTCTCGAGGGGTGGCAAACCATTCGCACGCCACTTTCAAGGTGTGGTAAACCACTTTCACGCCACTTTGGGGGGTGGCAAACCATTCCCACGCCACTCTTAGGGGGTGGCTAACCACTCGCACGCCAATCTCGGGGGGTGGCAAACCACTCGCACGCCACTCTCGAGGGTGGCAAACCTCTCGCACGCCACACTGGAGGGGTGGCAAACCACTCGCACGCCATGCGGGGGGGTTACAAACAACTCGCACCCCACTTTCGGGGGTGGCAAACCAATTGCACGCCGCTCTCAAGGTGTGGCAAAGCACTTGCACGCCACTCTCTGGGTGTGGCAAACCACTCGCACGTCACTCTCGGGGGGAGGAAAACCAGTCGCACGCCACTCTGGAGGGTGGTAAACCACTCTTATGCCACTCGGAGGAGTGGTCAAAGCTCTCCCAGGACACTCTCGGGGATTGGCGAACCACTCACACGCCACTATCAAGGGGTGGCAAACCAATCACACGCCATGCGAGAGGGTGACAAACCACTCGCACCCCACTTCTGGGAGTGGCAAACCATTCGCACACCACTCGTAGGGGGTGGCCGACCACTCGCACACCACCTTGGGGGCTGGCAAACCACTCGCACACCACTCTCCAGGGGTGGCAAACCACTCGCACGCGACTCGGGTGGGTGGCAAACCATTCCCAAGCAACTTGGGACGGGGGGCAAACCATTCGCACGCCACTCTCGGGGGGTTGCAAACCACTCACATGGCACTCTCGGGGGGTGGCTAACCATTCGCACACCACTCTCGGGGGGTGGCAAACCACTAACACGCCAGTCTGAGGGGTTTCAAACAACTCGCACGCAACCCTCGGGGGGTTGCAAGCCACTCGCACGCCACTCGGGGGGGTGGCAAACCACTCCCAAGCCACTCTGGTGGGGGAAAACCATTCGCACGCCACTCTCGGGGGGTGGCAAACCACTCACACGCCACTCTCAGGGGGTGGCAAACCACTAGCACGCCACCCTAGGGGGTGGCAAACTACTCGCACGCCACTCTGCGGCGTGGCAAAACACTCGCACTCCACTCTCGAGGGGTGCCAAACCACTTGCCCGTCACAGTGGAGGGTGGAAAACCACTCGCACGGCGGGGTGACAAACCATTTGCACCCCACTGCGGGGATGGGAAACCAGTCGCACACCACTCTTAGGGGGTGGCAAACCATTCGCACGACACTTTGGTGGCAAACCACTCGAACGCCACTCTCAGGGGGTGGCAAACCACTCCCTTGTCACACTAGGGGGTGGCATTCCACTCGCATGCCACTCTTGGGGGGTGGCAAACCACTCGCACGCCACTTCGAGGGGTGGCAAAACCACTCGCACTCCACTCTCGAGGGGTAGCACCACTCGCACGTCTTACTGGGGGGTGACAAATACCTCTCACGCCACTCCTCGGGTGTGGCAAACCACTCGCACGCCACTCGGAGGGGTAGGAAACCACTCCCAAGCCACTCAGGGGGGTGGCAAACCATTCGCATGCCATTCTCACTGGGTGGCAAACCACTCGCACGACACTTCGAGGGGTAGCAAACCACTCGCACTCCACTTCGGGGGGTGGAAAAGCACTCGCATGCCACTCTGAGGTGTGGCGAACCACTTACACACTACTTTGGGGGGGTAGCAAACCACTCGCACGCCACTCTCGAGGGGTGGCAAACCACTCGCACTCCACCTGGGGGGGTGGCAAACCACTCGCACGCCACTCTCAAGGGGTGGCAAACTACTCGCAAGCCACTCTGGAGGGTGGCAAATGTTGGTGCATCCCTATGGCTTGCACTCGGCTTGTCGTCCTTGTTTGTGTGTGTGCACGCATGGCATGGAAGGAATTGTGAGTCTATGTCATTGCTATCCAGTCCTTGTGTGTGTGTTTGAATGGTGTGTTACTATGTGGTTTGTGTCGGTCAAGACATTAGCGAGTTTTTACAATTCGCATGTCAAGTCGTCGTTTGTGTGTCGCATGTGCTTTTTCTATTTTGTCGAGTGTGAAGTGTCCATCGTGTCGCAGGTGTGTGCAGCAAGCCCCCATCAACTCAAGAAGAATTTTTCTTGCAGATCCAAGAACAAGAGCTCAAGATTTCAAGCCCAAGGGCCGCGGATAAATATTAAATAGAAAAAATAGTAACGTTACTACGTGTAGTGTTACATTTCACTTGGTGTAGCCCCTTGGAGGGTTGGTTTCGAGACTCTTCATGGTTGGGGACTCAGTGGTGGTGTACCACCAACGTGGACCTCGGCTCTTGGGGTATGTAGAGGCTGGGAACCATCTCCCTCTCGAATTCTTCTTCCTAAGTTTTTTGTACTCCTAAGACTATAGTGGCTGCTGTACCTCTTGCCAGTCAAACCGCCATAGCGTCGTCAACTCCTCATGGAATTTCATGATTCAACTTGCGGCTGATAGGCGACAGCATCGCGCTCCATATCCAATTTATAGATCTCCGTTTGAGAAAGCGAGCAGATCGTTTGACGGAAATCCGACTGTGCTCTCTATCTCTCATTTTAGGCACATCTGAGCCTATTGTGATTATAACAAGTGGTATCAGAGCCCCTTGGAGCCTTCGCACTGACCGTGGGGGAGAGTTCCTGAGCAAGGATTTCTCAACTTGGCTGAAGAGGCAGGGCATAAGGCACTCTCTTACCATGCCCTACTCTCCTGCAATGAACGGCATCGCCGAGCGTGCGAATCGCACACTCACGGAGACGGCTCGGGGACTTCTCATTGAAGCCGGTCTTCCCAATTACTTTTGGCCGGATGCGGTGCGGCATGCTTGTGTGGCCAAGAACAGAGCCTTGACTCATGTGGGAGAAGACAAATGGGTGCCCTATGTGGAGTGGATTGGAAGGAAGCCGAAGGTGGATATGCTTCGGGTGTTCGGGTGCATGTGCATGGCACTTGTGCCTAAGAAACTTCGACACAACAAGCTTGATGCCAAGGCAACATGGGCCGTGCACCTGGGCATGGCTCAAAACAGCAAGGGATGTCTTCTATGGGACCCATTTACCAAGAAGTTCTTGGTGAGCAGAGATTGCAAGTTCATGGAGAACTTACCGTACAAGGAGTGGAAGGCGGAGAACCAAGCGAAGATTGGTGTGCGGCTTGGAGAGGTGAAGAGTAACGGCTTGGAGCATGTGGAGCTGCCCTTGGAGCTGAGTAGCAGCAGCACAGTCACGAGGCAATCTCCTCAAATGAATGGGGATGAGGAGGAGGAGGCGGTGCAGCAAGGTGATGAGCGTGCACCATCTCTTCCGCCTCGTGCTACAAGTGCTCATGGGAACCGACCAGATTTACCGCAACGCCATGAGAGCATTCAAGTCCCTGCAGCAGAGGAGGAAGGAAAGGGGAGAAGGAGGACTCAGCCCCCTAATTGGTTGAGCTATGACCGGCTTGGAGGACCAGCCAACTCAACCTTGACCGGTTTGGCTCTCATGCTAGGCGATGATGCGGAAGATGAAAGCGAGGAGTGCGCCTTTGCCTTCTTCTCTCCGGTAGAGATGCCGGGGGAGCCTACAAATCCCAAGGAGGCTTGGGAGGGCCCCAATAGGAAGGAGTGGAAGAAGGCCTCAGATGAAGAAATGGGGAGCATCATCGAGAACGACACGTTTGACTTGGTGAACCTACCTCCGGGGCGTAAGGCGATCTCTTCCAAGTGGCTCTTCAAGCGCAAGACCGACGCCGATGGCAACATCGAGCGCTACAAGAGCAGACTTGTAGCCAAGGGGTATCAGCAGCAAGAGAAGAAGGACTACAACGAAGTGTATGCCCCTGTGGTGAAGGGTACAACCCTTCGAACCCTCTTCGCCGCGGCGGCCATCAAAGGATGGGTGGTGAAGCAAATGGATATAGTAACGACCTTCCTCAACGGCATTTTGGAGGAAGAAACCTACATGGAGCAGCCACAGAGGTACAATGATGGGATTGGCAGAGTGTGGAAGCTGAAGAAAGCACTCTATGGCCTCAAGCAAGCCCCTAGGCAATGGTACATCAAGCTGCGGGAAGTCTTGGAGGCGATCGGCTTCACTCCCTCAACGGCCGATCAATCCTTGTTCATGCTTGGCGAGGGGGAGCAGAGGAGCTTCATGGTGGTTTATGTGGATGACATCCTCATATTCTCACCCTCCTCTGACCTTGTGAAGGAGGTGATGCTGAAGCTTCAAGACAAGTTCAAGTGCAAGACCCTTGGTGACGTCAACTACTACCTTGGGCTTCACATTGAGCGAGATGTGGAGAAGCGTTGGATGCGAGTGCATCAAAAGAAGTACTTGGAGGCCTTGGCTGCAAACTTTGGGAAGAGTGAAGGTCATGTGGCTACTCCTCTTCCCTCAGGGTTCAAGTGTGTGAAAGGACCAGCGGAGGAAAGTGTTGGTGAAGAGGAGAGGCGCCGTTTTCACTCCTTGGTGGGCAGCCTCATGTATGCGGCCGTTCACACCAGGCCGGATGCAGCCTTTGCTACCGGGCAGCTGGGTAGGGTTGTCCAATGCCCTAATGAGGAGCAGGTAGCAGCTGGAGAGAGAGTGGCCAAGTACCTTGGCCAAACAGCAACTGTTGGAGTGCAATACTCCGCGGCGGCACAAAGGCGTCAAGAGGGTGCGGATGGAGTCGAACCCGGGAGGCTCTTTCTCACCGCCTTCTCTGATGCATCTTGGGCATCAGAACCAGAGGACATGACAAGTGTGGAAGGCTTCATCTGCTGTGTTGGTGGAGGGCCAACAGCTTGGGAGAGCAAGAAGCAAGTGGACCAAGCATTGAGCTCGGTGGAGTCCGAGTACATGGCACTCTTCCGTGCCATAAGAGAGGTTGTGTGGCAGCGGCGGTTGCTAGCTGAATTGGGGGAGGAGCAGCAAGGACCTACCCCACTCTACTGTGATAGCCAAGGTGCTATTGCATTGGCTAAGAACCCCGTTCTTCATGGCCTTACCAAGCACATGAAGGTGAAGTGGCATTGGGTGAGGAGCATGGTAACCGCGGGTGAAGTGGAGTTGCACTACGTGAAGACGACGGCGCAACCAGCTGAAATGATGACCAATAGGCTGGTTGATCAGCAGCATTGGAAGTGTTGCAAGCTTGCTGGGATGGCTCTGAACTAAGGGGAGCAGATTCTAAGGCCAACAATCCGAGGGGGAGTTTGTTGGTGCAACCCTATGGCTTGCACTCGGCTTGTCGTCCTTGTTTGTGTGTGTGCACGCATGGCATGGAATGAATTGTGAGTCTATGTCATTGCTATCCATTTCTTGTGTGTGTGTTTGAATGGTGTGTTACTATGTGGTTTGTGTCGGTCAAGACATTAGCGAGTTTTTACAACTCGCATGTCAAGTCGTCGTTTGTGTGTCGCATGTGTTTTTTCTATTTTGTCGAGTGTGAAGTGTCCATCATGTCACAGGTGTGTGCAGCAAGCCCCCATCAACTCAAGAAGAATTTTTCTTGCAGATCCAAGAACAAGAGCTCAAGATTTCAAGCCCAAGGGCCGCGGATAAATATTAAATAGAAAAAATAGTAACGTTACTTCGTGTAGTGTTACATTTCACTTGGTGTAGCCCCTTGGAGGGTTGGTTTCGAGACTCTTCATGGTTGGGGACTCTGTGGTGGTGTACCACCAACCTGGACCTCGGCTCTTGGGGTATGTAGAGGCTGGGAACCATCTCCCTCTCGAATTCTTCTTCCTAAGTTTTTTGTACTCCTAAGACTATAGTGGCTGCTGTACCTCCTGCCAGTCAAACCGCCATAGCGTCGTCAACTCCTCATGGAATTTCATGATTCAACTTGCTGCTGATAGGCGACAGCATCGCGCTCCATATCCAATTTATAGATCTCCGTTTGAGAAAGCGAGCAGATCGTTATCAATATTTGAAGCCGTCTGACGGAAATCCGACTGTGCTCTCTATCTCTCATTATAGGCACATCTGAGCCTATTGTGATTATAACAGCAAACCCATCGCATGCACTATCAGGGGGTTGCAAACCACTCGCACGCCACTATTGGGGGGTGGCAAACCAGTCGCACACCACTATTGGCTGATGACAAACCACTTGCACCCCACTTGTGGGAGTGGCACGCCACTCTCAAGGGGTGGCCGACCTATCGCACACCACAATGGGGGGTGGCAAACCACCCTTGCCACTCGGGTGGGTGGCAAACCACTCCCAAGCCACTCTGGACGGGGGGCAAACCATTCGCACACCACTCTCGCGGGTGGGCAAACCACTCACACGCCACTCTCTTGGGGTGGCAGACCATTCGCACTACACTCTGGGGGGTGACAAACCACTTGCACGCCACTCTGATGGTGACAAGCCACTTGCACCCCACTTACGGGGATGGCAAACCAGTTGCACTCCACTCTCGGTGGGTGGCAAACCACACGAACGCGACTTTGGTGGGCGGCAAACCACTCGCACGCCACTCTCGGGGGGTGGCAAACCCTTCGCACGCCACTCTCCTTGGGTTGCAAACCACTCATACGCCACAATTAGTGGGTGGCAAACCACTCGCAAGCCACTCTGGGCGGGGGTGAAACCATTTGCACGCCACTCTCGGGGGTGGGCAAACCACTCACATGCCACTCTCCTAGGGTGGCAAAGCATTCGCACTGCACTCTGGGGGATGACAAACCACTCGCACGCCACTCTAGGGGCGGCAAACCACTCGCACACCACTCTCGGGGGTGGCAAACCACTTGCACGCCGCACCACAGCGGGGTGACAAACCACGTGCACCCCACTTGCAACGAAGGCAAACCAATCGCACACCACTCTCGGGGGGTGGCAAACTGTCGCACGCCACCTTGGTGGGCGGCAAACCACTCGCACGCCACTCTCGCGGGGTGGTCAACTACTCAAACGCCACCCACGTGGGTGGCAAACCACTCGCACGCCAGTCTTGGGGGATGGCAAACCATTCGCACGCCACTCTGGGGGGTTGCAAACCATTCGCACTCCACTCTCGCCGGGTGGCAAGCCATTCACATGCCATTCTTTAGGGTTGGCGAACCACTCGCACGTCACACTGGGGGGTGGCAAAGCACTCGCACTCCACTTTCGTGGGATGGCAAACCATTCGCACGCCACTCTCGCGGGGTGGCAAACCACTCGCACGCCACTCTTTGGGGGTGGCAAACCACTCGCACGCCACTTTGGGGACTGGCAAACCACTCGTACGCCACTCTCAGGGGGTGGCAAACCACTCGCACGCCACTCTTGGGGGGTGGCAAACGACTCGTACGCCACTCTCAGGGGGTGGCAAACCACTCGCACGCCACTCTTGGGGGGAGGCAAACCTTTCGCACGTCACACTCGAGGGGTGGCAAACCACTTGCACTCCACTCTTGGAGGGTGGCAAACCATTCGCACGCTATTCTCCGGGGGTGGCAATCCACACGCACGCCAACCATTCGCATGCCACTCTAAGTGGGTGCCATACAGCTCGAAGGTCACGTCGAGGGGTGGCAAACAACTCGCACTCCACTGCAGGGGGTGGCAAACCACTCGCACGTCGCACTGGGGGGTGGCAAATCACTCGCACGCCACTCCTAGGGGGTGGCAAACCATTCGCATTCCACTCGGGGGGTGGCAAACCACTCGCACGCAACTCTGGGGGGTGGCAAACCACTCGCACTCCACTTTCGCGGGGAGGCAGACCATTCGCACGCCACTCTAAAGGGGTGGAAAACCACTCGCATGTCACACTTGGGGCTGGCAAATTACTCGCACGCCACTCCTAGGGGGGTGGAAAACAACGGGCAGGCCACTTCGCGGGGTGGCAAACCACTCGCATGCCACTCTTGGGGGGTGGCAAACCACTCGCACGCAACACGGGGGGTGGCAAACCCCTCTAAAGCCACTTAGGGCGGTGGCAAACCATTCGCATGCCCCTCTTAGTGGGTGGCAAACCACTCGCACGCCATTTCGGGGGGTGGCAAACAACTCGCACTCCACTACGGGGGGTGGCAATCCACTCGCATGCCACTCAAAGGGGTAGCAAACCACTCGCACGCCACACTCGAGGGGTGGCAAACCACTCACACTCCACTCTCTGGTGGTGGCAAACCACTCGCACGTCAATCTTTGGGGGTGGCAAACCTCTCGCACGCCACACTCAAGGGTTGGCACACCACTCGCAATCCTCTCTCGAAGGTGGCAAACCACTCACCTACCACCTTGTGGGGTGGCAAACCACTCGTACGCCATTTTCAGGGGGTGGCAAACCACTCGCACTCCACTCTCAGGGGGATGGCAAACCACTCGCACTCCACTCTCAAGGGGTGCCAAACCATTCTCGGGGTGTGGCAACCCACACGCACGTCACTCTGGGGGGTGGCAAACCACTCGCATGCCACTTGGGTGGGTGGCAAACCACTCCCAACCCACTCTAGGGGGGGGGGGTGTGGAAACCATTCGCACGCCACTCTCGCGGGGTGGCAAACCATTCGCACGCTACTCTTGGGGGGTGGCAAGCCACTCGCACGCCATCTGGGGCATGGCAAAACACTCGCACTCCACTCTCGAAGGGTGGCAAACCACTCGCACGTCACATTGGGGGGTGGCAAACCACTCACATGCCACTCTTGGGGGATGGCAAACCATTTGCACGCCACTCTAGGGGATGGCAAATCACTCGCACTCCACTCTCGCGGGGTGGCAAACCATTCGCACGCCACTCTTGAGGGGTGGCAAATTACTTGCACGCCACTCCCAGGGGGTGGCAAAACCACTCGCACGCCACTCGGGGGGGTGGCAAACCACTCCCAAGCAACTCACGGGAGTGGCAAGCCATTCGCATGCCACTCTTAGTTGGTGGCAAGCCACTCGCACACCACTCTGGGGGGTGGCAAAGCCATCGCACGCCACTCTCGGCGGGTGGCAAGCCACTCGCACGCCATTCTCGGGGGGTGGCAAACCTCGCGCACATCCCAGTCGAGGGGTGGCAAACCACCCGCACGCCACATTGTGGGGTGGCAAACCACTCGCATGCCACTCCCGGGGGGTGGCAAACCACTCGCACGCCACTCTCGGGGGGTGGCAAAACACACGCACGCCACTCTGGGAGGTGACAAACCCATCGCACGCCACTCTTGGGGGGTGGCAAACCACTCGCACGCCACTCTCGGAGGGTGGCAAACCTCTCACACATCACACTCGAGGAGTGGCAAACCACTTGCACGCCACTCTGGGGGGTGGCAAACCACTCGCACGCCACTCTCAGGGGGCGGCAAATCACTTGCACTGCACTCAGGTGGGTGGCAGACAACTCCCAAGCAACTCAGGGGGTGGCAAACCATTCGCATGCCACTCTCAGTGGGTGGGAAACCACTCGCACGCCACTTTCGGGAATTGGCTAACCATACGCACTCCACTCTCGAGGGATGGCAAACCACACTCACGCCACTCTCGAGGGTGGCAAACCACTTGGATGCCACTTGCGGGGGTGGCACACCACACACACGCCATGAGGGGGGGTGGCAAACCAATCGCACGCCACTTTGGGGGGGTGGAAAACCAATCGCATGCTACTCTAGGGGGTGGCAAACCACACGTTCGCTTCCCTAGTCGGGTGGCAAACCACTCGCACGCCACTCTAGGGGGTGGCAAACCAGTTCCAAGCCACTATGGGGTGTGGCAAATAACTCGCACAACACTCTCTCAGGGAGTGGCAAACCACTCATACGCCACTCTTGGGGGGTGGCAAACCACTCCCACGCCCCTCTAGGGGATGGCAAACCAATCGCACGCCATTCTGGAGGGTGGCAAACCATTCGTACGCCACATGCGGGGCTGGTAAACCACTCACGCACCACTTCTGGGGGTGGAAAACCACTCGCACGCCACTCTTAGGGGGTGGCAAACCACTCGCGCGCCGCACTTAGGGTGTGGCAAACCACTCACACGCCACTCTCGGGGGGTGGCAAACCAATCGCACGCCACTCGGTGGGGGGTTGAAAACCACTTGCACGCCACTCTCGGGGGTGGCATACCACTTGCACGCTACTCTTAGGGGGTGGCAAACCACTTGCACGCCACTCTCGGTGGGTGGCAAACCACTCACACGCCACTCTGGGGGGGTGGCAAACCACTCGCATGCAAGTCTTGGGAGGTTTCAAACCACTCCTCGGCACTGTCAGGGGGTGGCAAACCTCTCGCATGCCACTTTG